ACATCAAATAAGCTTTTGTTCGGAGTTTCTGCTCATATGTTAAATATATAGTATGTTTTGTCAATAAACTAATCAACTAAGATGTTATAGTGTTTGTTCAAGCTATATCAAAATAATGAATCCTCAACTTTGAAATATGTATGATCAAACTAAGACATTTATGGAAAAAGACAATTTTCTTTTCAAGATGTTTCCAACTCTAACTTTGAACTTTGAACTGAAATAAAACCATGTCTATATGGTGAAGGGTGTGTGATAGAAGTGTCCAGACGTATGCACCCTGTATTTTCCTTATATAAATCCAAACAATCTAAAAGCCATTCTTTTTTTAAATCTCCTCATTCTTTGTGCAAGGCTCCTGTAATGATATGGCCTGATAGCACCTAATAGGGCCATTATGGGGAGGGTCTTTGTCTTTCTCAGGTGTGAAATGCCACACATATTAATGAGAGATCACGCCTCCTGCATAAAGCTTTCTCAAACAAAACACGTCATTAAAAATGTAAAATACTTTATTGACTTATCTGAATGAGCAGTCAGGATGATTCTCACATAGTTTTGGAGCAAATACTCTAGACTATGTGATACAATTTTCAAAAGTATTGTGAAGAAATAATTAATATGTGTTTTGTGGTCTTATTTCAGCAACTTTCATTTTTATTTTTTTTCAATAACCACACATAAACATTATTCTCTTAAAAATACAAACATGTACATACATGTTGCTCACTTATCATGGTAGTCCCGTCTGTGCTATATAGAGTGAATTTACACCTTTGCCATTAACATGTTTATAAATAACTGAAAAAAGCACAAATGTCAGTGCATGTCAAAACATCCCAAGGGCCCCAAAAACACGCTGGTCCCCAGAGGGTTAAACCCTGTTGCAAATACAAAAACAAAGTTACGCATGCTGTCCACCTTCAAAAAGGAAAAAAATGTGAACTTTCTATTCATCAAATAATAGTGGAAATTTATCACAAACTGTTTTTAACACTAATAATAATACAAATGTTTCTTGAGCACCAAATCAGCATATCAGAATGATTTCTGCAGGATTATGAAGACTGCTTTGCCTTGACAGAAATACATTACATTTTAAATTATAATAATATTTCACTATATTAGTGTTTTTACTGTTTTCTCAATCAAATAAATGCAGCTTTGGTGAGAATAAGAGACTTCTTTCAAAGACATTAAAAAAATATTTTGAATGGTAATGTGTATTTAACACAATTCTAAATTAGAATGTTTCATTTTGTTTAAAATGGTTTGTAGCTCCAAGCTATATCACATGTCATTCAGGAAAACCGCCTTTCAAAAGAGAAGTACGGAAAAGACTACAGTACATCACTGAAGCAGAGTGAACCTAGGAATCTCCCTCTATATACGTACCCTCCATTAATATGCACTAGATCTCCTCACATAAGACACTGTGATTAATGCCTTCTCTTCCCAGACAGATACAGCTTTAACTCACAAAACGTCTCCATTTCAGAGTCAAGTACGTGTTGTTAACTGATTGCAAAGATGAAGGAAGCTAGTGTGGTATAAGAGCCTCGTGCTAATCCATACACAACTCTTGTGTTTAAAAATATTCTCCTGCACTGCTTTGAGAAGATTAATTTCTATTTCCCAGAAGAGGGTCTCTGCATACCCTTCAAATTTTGCTTTAGTCAAAACATTGCTTTAATCAAGGTCCAATTTTCAGAGTGGTAAAGGTATAGCCAAGGTTCACTCATGTGCCAGGGTCTTTGACAGTCCCTACAGCAGATTTAATTATGATCCATCATAGTTTCCTTTACAGGGTGGGACCAGGGGGTCCAGAATACAATAGTTCTTGAAAATGTGAGTGAAATGAGTTGAAATATTCAAAGCTTAAATATACAACCATGTTGAATTTCAGCCCATAGAAATGCAAGCCTTAAAAATACAATGCATTAAAATGCAAGCACGGTTAGTGCAATGCATATTTTTTTCAATTAGTGCAGTTCAACAAGCTTTTTTGTTTCAAAAACATTTGTCATTAATTTTCTTCCATACATTTGGCTTTAGTTTACATGTTACACGACACATTTACAGCAGGGTTTCGACAAACAACTATATTATAAAAGGGTCTGATTATGATTTGTCCTGGTGGAAATTTAGTCCAGGAGTGCTCGCTCTCGAGGGCCTGACAATTCCTCAATGTTTATTATGCTGTTTGTTCTCTAAAAGCTCTTTTCGCTGAGATTAATATACCTCTGATCTTCTGTATATTGTCATTATGTAACATATGACCACTGTAGTTCCCTCCATTCAGAGTTTGCTGATGGTGTTGGACACGTGGCTGATGTTGCTCCAGATTTCATATGCCGCCTGTTTCACAGTCTTTCATCATGTCTGAGAATTTGTCTCTGTTCTGTGAGAGCACTCTTTGGTCTTTGAGATGGCTTTATTCTGCAAGACAGGCCCATACCATGTCCCCAAAAGTACCAGGAGCACATTCATTCTGTGTTTCATATCCATACTTCACGTTTACTGTACAGAGGGCCCTATCTTACACCCGGCGCAATGCAAACGAGGTCTGAAAACGAGGTGTGTTCAGGCCCATTGTTGGCGCGTTGCTATTTTGAGGCAAATAGACTGAAACCTGGTCTAAAGTCAATGGCGCAATATTTTTTTTTGTTATTTAAAAGAGCACGTTAGTAATGTGCGCCTATAGGCGGGTTCAAAAACACGCGTGCACTCTGCTTAGGGACAGACAGGGACGCACAGCAGCACATAAACATGCCAAATGTTTCAAATAAAAGGATTACAATGTAAAATATTATTATTGTGTACATAAAGATATGGTGGAATCCGGCTTGTCCCGTAGATGATATGCTTGCGCACTTTTACCTCGCGCACGAGCAGTTCCGTTTGCGCTCTGGAGCGCGTGCTCGGTCTTTCCACTATCAAATTCTGTCATGTAAATAGCAAATCCGCCATGGCGCGAGTGCAACTGGCATTTAAAGGGAATGAGACTCTGATTGGTTTAACGCACGCAAATCCCAAAACACACCCACTACTCATTAAGAGAATAGGGACAACCCTTTTAGACCATGTGCCTGGCGTGCCGACCATTTTTTCAGTCGTTAAACTAGCAAAAGTGGATTTGGACACACGCCCTAAGTGAACTTGCACCCTGCGCTTTACACCATGCGATTAGATCGTTAAAATAGGGCCCAGAGTGTGTTTTGTCCACTGGAGTGCTCTAGCTGAGTTTAACAAGCTTTAGTTTTTAAAATTTTAAACAGTATTACATCAATTTGCATCAAAGCAAATTACACATTACATTCATTCATGTGATGGTAGAGCTGAATTTTCAGCATAATTTCTCCAGTCTGATCAATGTTGAACACAGTTAATATTTTTATGGAAACTAATATATTTCAGACTTTGAAGAATAGAAAATTCTAAAGAACAGCATTTATTTGAAATAGAAATCATGTAACATTATAATTGTCTTCACTTTAACTTTTAAACAATTTAATGTGCCCGCCCTTAATATCTTTCCAAAAAAAATCCTGACTCCTTTTGAACGGTAGTGTACAGAATATACCTCCTTTAAAGTTTAGCATAATTGGGACTTGTCCAAATCTCAATTATTTATTGTGTATAATAAATTCATTTGATCTTTCACTACTCATTCAATTGGTTTTGACGGCTTAAAAAAAAAGGAAAACTGAAGCTAAAGTCTAGTTTCTTTGATTAAAATTCTACATCCCGTAAATATTTTAATCGTGATGCTTCTACAAGCATCATTGCTGTTGTGTAAACAGTAGACGACAATGCCTGAAATTGTGGACGTGTGAAATTACATCTGTGAAGTTAGGAAACACACTCTGATTACAAAATTGGTCTGACTCCAAACCATTATACTCCTATTGGTTTCGAGCTTTTAACGAGTTCAGTGCTCAAACTTCCTCAGCATTTGGACTGCACGGGCAAGTCCTCAACTGTTTACATATGCCGCTCAGCCAAACAGCTGTTATTAGGTGGATGTTGATAGCAGCTTTTATTTGATTTTCATTTAAATGCTCGGTAGGGAGGAACACCATTAAAATGACAGATTTGTTGATGAACTTCTCCTTTTCTAATGCATTATTCAAACAGCACCATGGCAGAAGATGACAGTTCTCTAAAGCTGGCTACCAAAGTACTTAATTATTAACTACTGTTTTTTGATGTGTTTGTGTTTTTTTGATGTGATGTGTTTTTACAGTTGTTTTGGAAAGCACCAATGACACAGGTGGCGTAATGGTTATAAACGAGTGTGTTTACATTCGGTAGTATCAAGCAGAGATGCTTTCCTAACCTCTTTGGAAACAGGATACACAGGCACACACACACAGTCACTTTACACCGTAGTCGTGTCTCACCTGTCACTCACCCCAACTTTGACACAAACATATTGTGATGGGAAATCATTACCATCAAACCGAGGGTGCTTACTCGCCCCACTGGCTACTTAAAAGTAAGCCTTATACAGGAACGTACACTTTCCCCTTTCCAAATATCACCTTTTTGTTAGCCCAGTTTAGAGAAGCAAGATTTAAAAAGCTAGTCCATTCTGGCTTATGTTGGTCAGTGTGCCCCTCGCAGGCTGAGAAGCCTGGTAATGCTATTATCCCAGCATAATTAAAGCCCCAAGTCAACTCACGCTCTTAACATTCTTCTCAGCCTTTCTTCACCTATGCCACATAATGATCTTTGCAGTTTGCCAAATTTCCAAGCCATGACATTTTGTAGCTATTCTTGGGTTTCCCATGACAGAGAGTGACAACAAACCATGGCAGCTTGGCTTAATAATCAAAAAAAGCTCCTGTTCAAACATTTGCCCTGGTCTCATCATCAGTGTGTCCTCTGTCTCCTCTATCTGTAGTTTGAGCTGTTTCTGTGACTGCTGCCCTGTGGTTCAGGGACTGACAGGAGGGTCAGGAGAGGGAAAGGGGAGTGAGGAGTGTTTGGAGACTTACCCAACCAGCTCCTGTTCAGATAAACTGACACAAACACGGGCGGTACGGTGAAGAAGTCCACCACTGAGTTCACCTCCAACCAGAACCACAGCTTATCATTGGCTGCTATGAACTGGAAGAAGATGAAATGGAAAACGGGTCAATATCACATAGTTTTAAAGGGGATCATATTTTAGAATGTTATATTAGAATGTTACATTAAAAGTTATTGGTGACAAAAAAATATTACTGGGTGTGCAGAATGTGATAGAAATATGTTGAGTATGAAGTATGTACTTACACGCAGGCCAAAGTAGAGTAAGAAGAACACATTGAATGCCATGTCAATTTGTAATGTGAAGTCTTTGTAGAAATTCTGACAGGATTCTATAGGACTATGGAGAAAGAAAAACAAATAAATGTTAATTCAATTTCAAACAGATACATGATTTAATTGGCATGGAAATAATGTCAAAATACAAACTTAATCTGAATGGTCCTAAAAATTGTTTTGTTTTGTTTTTTAGGCAAAATGTATTTTCTTTTCTTTCTGATTATAAACACATGATGAATTATAAATATGCACATATAATATAAAACACACCCTGTAACATTATCAAACTTGCCTTTTTGTCATACTTTTCCGGACTATATATTGTACTACTCTTATATAACCTACATAAAAGTTTGCATAAATAATACAATATTCATTTGCATGAAAATGATATTTATACCTTACATAAAATAATTTATTTGCATACTTTATTTGTTATTTGCATACTTTTGGTTATATCTTTATACATTGGTTCTGTACTTAGTGCAATGACAATAAAATGTAAACAAAATGTTGAAGTTAAACGTGTTTTAAAACACATGTTGTTTGTTTGTTTAAAACAAACATGAATAGTTTATGACTACTACAATTATTCACAGGAAAATACAACTTATTGTGATATAATGTACAGTACCATGAATGCATTGCATTATAATACCTTTTTAATACATTATATTTTGACACACAGTCAAGACATCAGGAACGTTGAAAGACATTGATATGATTCAGGACTGTCTTAAAGCACCAGTTGCCTTTATCTGTTAGAATACATTTTAAAATATATAACAGCATTTCTGATTTATTCAGTACAACTGGGATGGTTAACTCAACTGTTGAATGGTTCAATTAATTAAAAGGCTTCATTTCATAAGCCAAAAGCCTTTGAGCTGAGGTTAATGAGGTGCTTGCCTTTCACTGGCATTATCTCATAGGAAGTAATTTAGAGACCAGCCTTGAAATTCACTAGACATAAATAATATCAAACTAAAGAAAAGACAGCCAAATTAAGGAAAAAGGGGCCCATAATGCAAGTTTAACTAGCTACTTTTGGCCTTAAAGTGATAGGTCACCCAAACATTTAAATTTGCTGTTAATTTACTAACCCTTAGGCCATTCAAAATGAAAGTGATTTTTTTCTTTAGGAGAACAGTAAAGAAGAGTTTTGCCTGAAACCGTGGTCCTTCATGATTCATATAATACAATATAAGTCAATGGCTACTGTGACAAGAGAGTCAAAAAAAATAATAATACAGGCAAAACAAAATTAATACCCATGGCTCCTGACGATACATTGAGGTCTTATGAAGCAAAACTGTCTGTGCAAGAAACAGAAAATGATTTACATGTTTTAAAATTAGGGCTGTTAAAATTAAGGCGTTAGTGCATGCGATTATTTTTTTCAGTTTAGCATGTTAAAAATATTTAAAGAAATTAACGCAACATCCGTTTTTTGAATCATCCTTTGGCTAGCGTTACATTTTATGACTATCATCTTATTAATGCAAATGCTTTTAAACCATTCAAGGACTATAAGACACAAAAGAGAACGCAGTGCGGTACTGGTATGCATCTGTGAATCTCCTGTCTGTGTGACACATGCACACACGACTCATGCACACAGAAAGGCCCTTCAGGCTGAGTTTGAACGGACAAAAACACGCAAAATTATGCCAAAATTACGGTTTTGTTAAGTATCCTCGCAAGTACAGTCTTAAATTAGTTGAAAGAAGTCTTAAATGCAGCGGCGGCGCCAGGGGGGGTCTCAAGACCCTCCCAAAAAATGCTTTGACCCCCCATTTGACCCCCCCCCCACCCCCTTCCTGATTAATAAAAAATATATATCCGGGATAAATATTTTAAAATGTTTATCTTCAAACTACGCAGAACATAACAATAATAAATAATTAATTTATTCGACATACAAAATATATAAACATAAGAATCACGTTCCCTCTAAGCTGCGCGCGTGCGCGGTCGTGCACTTCTGATGCCGCGGCCGCGCAGAAAAGAATAATATGCCACGCAGAGGACTGACGCGAAATGTGTGGGGAAATCCATTTGATTGTATGTGAGAAATAATTGCAGTGCTCAAACTGGTGAGTGCAGTTAACAGGTTTCAAAGAAAGAGAACGATGTGAGCGCGTGTGATTGCCAGTGAGTCGTGTGTGCGGACCAAATATCTCAATACGAGAGGCGACGAGAAACGCAAAGACATGTGAAATAAAATCACAATATCATGTTTTAAAGAAGAGTGGTTTGATTAAAGTGGTGGAAATAACGGATGATGGACACAGAACGGTAACAATTACACACCCACCTGCGTGCAAACTCAAAATACATCATTAGTTTACATAGATTTAAATAGTTTCAGGCATGGTTAGATTAGGCTACTATAAAAGAGTTCACATATTCACTTTTCTTGAAAATATATTAAGCTATTAGATCTAGCTATTTACAGTAAATGCTTCAGTTTGTTTTCATATTATAATAATATAATATGAAAACAAATTGAAGCATTTAAACGGATATATCACTTAAAATACTTCAATTCATTTTTTTTTTTTTTTTATATTATATTAGGCATATATTTTATTATATTTAAAGCCTAAATAAAGAATCTCACAAGGGTATTGTTTAGGGCTCATTGCCATTAAAAAGTTTGAAACCCCCTGCTAAAGAAAATATAGGCTAGGAAATTCATAAGCTATAAACAATCATTTAACTTTGATGGTTTAATGCTGCCTGTACAATTAATTGACTGTACAAAAACACTTTATGGTTTTCCTAAACCATCTCAGTGTAACAGCTTAATTTTCTTTCATAATATATTATATTATTGTAAAGAATTGAACTGTCCTGCAGAAGATTTTGTAAATTATTTTTCATAGGATTTCTTAGTAAAGACTGGAAACAGAGGACACCGAGGAATTGGAGGATGAGGAGGATACTATTTTGTAAATATGTTTTCTGTCATGGGTGTGGCTATGGCAATTAAAGTTCGAGCATATTGTTTGCAAACTGCAATTGATTAATTAATTTAAAACAAAGTAGTTGATATGCTGTGTTGTTTTTGTTGTTAAGTAGCAGCAATATGCAGTTATTAGCCGTGTCCACTGTATTTTTTGTTGGTTTTCATGAGACCCCCCTTGAAATGACCAGGACCCCCCATTGCCCCCCCAATCAAAATTGTCTGGAGCCGCCACTGCTTAAATGAATGTAAAGAGTTGTGAGAAAATGGGATCCGTGTCATGTGCTGCAGGTCTTAAAGTGACAGCTGCCTAATAAACCCTCTGCTGTTTGTCATTAAGGACAATCATACAACAAAAGAAAAAGAGAAAATCACTCACTGCTCTTGACTGAATAACATTTGTAGCTTAATAGGGATTAATCTATATTTAATTTATAAATTATGCAGTGAAGACTGTGAAGTGTTTGATAACTTTATTTAATTTCTGTGAATATCCTACCAAACCAACCTGAAACTCTTAAAGCACTGGCTCAAAAACAAAGGAAACAATAACTTTTTTTGTGCATTTTGACAGGCCAATGAAAAATCTAAACCGGTCTGACTGGGCCAATAGGAAAAAATTAAGCCCTGATATATTGAAAGGCACAGGTAAATGTGACATTTATTACAATTGGTGTAATGAAGATTGTTTTAAGTTCACTTAAATTAAAATTTGTTACATTTTTTAAAGCCTAATAGATGTTAAAATTGATAGCTTTTAATTAGGCCTATACTGTAATGCTGAATGCTTATAATGGCTATAATTGAGGGGAGGGGGGGGGGATTTTTATTTTATTTCATAGCAGTACTGGTATCGGTGATACTGGCCTTCTTTCATAAAAAATGCCATTAAATAAATAGTTTAAATATACTGTCTTTATGTTGTTTCTACATTAATTTGGAGATTAAATATGAAATTACAATATAAAAATATATTCAAAACGTTAAAAAGGGTCATATGATGGTTCTAAAAATAACATTATTTTGTGTATTTGGTTGAATGCAATGTGTTTACGCGGTTTTAGGTTCAAAAAAGTTATTATTTTACACATACTGTACATTGTTGCTCCTCTATGCCCCGCCTTTCTGAAACGCATCGATTTCTACAAAGTTCATCGTTCTGAAAAGTGCGGTGTGCTCTGAATTTTTTAAATATGAAAACATACTTACAGGCTGTGTCTGAGAGTCAGAAGCGCCAGACTGTAACGTTACTTGCAAAGATGGAATTGCCCCACTTTTTAGAATCAGCCTTTATGCACAGCCGGCCTTCACACAGTTCTGGAAACAGTCCTCCGAAAAATGCGCAGCACACAGTCGAAAATTGTAGTTGTACTGTCCTGGAACAGTGTTGTAAATAAAGCTTAAGCACTGTTTTCTAATTGTGTCCTCTTTTGGAAGGCCAAACAAAGTAGTTTGGCTTTCGCAACGAAAAACACAGTGTCTCCACGATATGGCGGTGCCGGGTGGCAACAATAATAAAGCGAGAATAAAAGTTACGCCTTCTTTCTTTGCGTATACATTTGGGCGGTGTTATAAAACTCTGCCCCCGCACACTGACGTAGATTTGTGGGGGCGTGTTTGAAGGAAGCGTTTTAGGAAGCCTTTTATAAAGGATATCTCTTTAGGTTTCACACTCTGAGCTTTGTAACTGCAGATCTTATACTTGCACTAACAGCTACATAACATACTAAAGAAAAAAGAAAACAAGAAATCACATCATATGACTCCTTTAATGTTAGGAGCGATTCATCTCGATTAATTACAGAAAAATGTGTGATTAATTAGTTGAGGAGCAACAGTCTTTCTGTCGCATTATGGCATATGCACGGGGGCAAACTCATGTGTGAGTTGACGCTGTGTCTGTTTACAACAGAGAGGGAGGACACATCTGTTGTATTGTTCGTCAAAAAGGTACTTACTTGTGCTTATCCTAGATGCCGTAACCTATATAAAAAATTTAAGATTGACTTTTCACAGATTCCCAACATTTGAGCTCCCATACATGTCATTATGTGACAGGAAGCTCGGGTGCCAGACTGTCGTGAACGCGCTCA